CAAAAAGAAAACAGGTAAAATGCATTTTCTTATAACAAAAAAAAAAAAAAAACAGTAGAAATTGTACGTTACAATAATTGCGAATTTTTCAGGTTGTTTATTTTATTGTCAACTAAAAAAAAAATTAGGTAAATTTTTTTAAAGGCTGACATACTTATAATTTCTCGTCATTTCGAAATACCCTAAATGTGCGTCAATGTTGCATTTCTGTGTTCCTAGCTGCCTCAAAAAAAGCTGTGTTACTCAAGCGATTTATAGATATGAACAATAGAAGCAAAAAATTAATTAAAATTTTAAATTAAAACACCAAATTTAAATACTGATCAATAATAAAAACTATGCTAACAATTCAAATAACCAAATTCTAACGAAATCCATTTAACAGAAAATTTAAAAAAATTAATTTTTCTTTACACATATTTTTTAGCATCTTTTTAGCATTTTGTGTTTGTTGTAGTTGTTAAAAAATCAACAAAAAACCACGAATAATAAAAAATAATGGTCACCATTAATAATGTATATTAATAATGTATATTAATTTATATATTGATAATATACAAACTATTATAAAAAATAATTTTTTTTGTTCTATTGTAAATAGAATAAAAATATTATAATAAATAGGATAAAAAATGGATTAAAAAACAGAATAAAAAATACAATAAACAATAGTATAAAAATAGAATAAACAATAGTATAAAAATAGAATAAACAATAGTATAAAAAATAGGATAAAAAATAGAATAAAAATCAGAATAAGAAATAGAATAAATAATAGTATAAAAAATAGAATAAGAAATAGAATAAAAGATAGAAATTAAAAATAGAATAAAAAACAGAATAAAAAAATAAAATACAGAATAAAAAAGAGTACCTATAAAAAATAGTATAAAAAATAATATAAAAAAATATAAAAAATACCATGAAACTAACATGTAAATATACTGATAAATTTACCATTATATGCAATAATGGTGAATTTTGCAAGAAAAATAACATCGATCTGCCCTAATTGCCTGTCCGTCCGTCTTGCTAGTCTGTCTGTTGCCAATCGGCTCTAGAAACGTAAAATAGACGAAATATCGAAAAGTTTTTTTTTTTACTCTAATAATTTGGAAACGAAAGAAAAATAAAAAAACAAAAGGAAAAAAAATCACAAAAAAAAGAAAAAAAAAGAAAAAAATTTTTGTCATCAATTGCGTTCAAATAGGGGGGGTTGGAAACGGACAGACAGACGGACAAATTCGCGAAGCTCTCTCACATATATATCGGGTAAGCTATATAGTTGTCACTATCTGTCTTATCTGTCTGTCCGTTCGTCTCTCTTTGTTCATCTATCTGTCTGTCTGTCTGTTTGTCTATCTCTCTGTTTGTTGCCCTCCCCCCCACTAATAATATATCCAATTAATTGCTCTCTATTCTTATCAAAAAAAACTTCTCTGTACAAATTACAAAACAAAAAAGAAATAATCAGTTTTTATTCAATTTTTACTCTCTCGATATTTTCTATTCTAGTAATTTCATTTTTCATCTATTTTTTCTTTTACTTATTTTTTATTTATTTTTCATTTATTTTTAACTTTTACTCATTTATTTATTTTTTTAATTATCAATTATTTTTTATTTATTTATTTTTTAATTACTTTTCTATTTATTTATTTTTGTTTATTAACATATAAACGGTCTGTAAATAAAAACAATGTTGTTCTTTTACTTATTGTACATTTATTTTAGTTTATCTTTTATTTACTTTTTATTTATTTTACTTTATCTTGGAATTAATTTTTATTTAAGTTACTTTTCATTTATTTATTTCGAAGGTTACGTATAAACGGGTTTGAAAATAAAAAGTTGATTTTACTTCAGACTTATTTTATTTTATCCTGTATTTATTTTTTATTTTTCTATTTTATCTTTTTATTTATTTATTTACTTTTTATTTCGAAGGTTACGTACCTATAAAAAGGCTGCAAATAAGAAATAAAAAGTTTATTTTATTTCATGTTTTATTTATTTTTGATATATTTTACTTTATGATTTATTTTCATTTGATCTTTTTTACTTTATGTTTGTAATTTTATTTAGTTTAATGAAATTAATTATTTATTTCTCTAATTCTATTCTAAACATAATTTACTTTTAGTAAATATTTATTATTAATTTACTTTTAGTAAATATTTATTAAAATTTACTTTTTTTATTTATTTTATTTCTTCTTTTCGAATTCAGTAAAAAAATATTTTTCGAAAAAATTAAATTATTTTATTTCAGAAAAAATGGAAAATTTTTAAGACTGAGTGAAAAAAAAATTATTTTTAAAAAGAAACCAATAGACGAAAATTTCTAATCATTAAATTAATAATTTTAAATTTATTGAAAACAATTCTTAAATAAATTTAAAATTCAATTTAATTTAATTTTTCGTTACCATGGATATCGAGAGAGGAATAAAAGTTTGAAGAAAAAAAAGAATCCGTGCACATCATAATTATTAATATCTCATCACTCACTGTATACACACGGCCAATGCTCTGGGTATGTCGTATGCTGGATGGATTTAATTGACTTAATTAATTTCCGACCTTACATTCTCTCTATATAAATAAAATTGCCAGTTTCTGTTTCCGAACAAATATATTACCTATACATATATATAAATATATCTCTCTATATATATATATTCTATATTGTTTTTGCGATGTTGGTGTTGTTTGATATACTCATTGTTGATGTTGATATGTTGTTACCTTGATGTTTCTGGATGTGTTGTTTACTCGTTGTTATACATACGTTGCTGTTTGGTGTTTTTCTTTGTTGCATTAAAAAAAAAAATATACAAAAAAAAACAATTACATGTATATAATTATCCACATAAAGAAAAGAAAAATTTTCATTTTATAATCGTGCAGTTGTTCGCGCCTTTCGCTCATCTGCATCGCCCCTTTAAGACAGGATGTTTCACGTGATTCGTGCTTTGAAAGGGAAATTCTCTCCGGATGTTATAATTATATATATTGTTGGAAAATCAATTTCCATTGGCAAATTAATTTCTTCCTTTTTTTATGCGTAATTTTAGTTTTGTTTTGCCTTAATTTCAAATTCGCTTTTTCATTTAAAAAAATTTTTTTGATTCTTTTTTATTTTTTTGATTCTTTTTTAATTTGTTCAATTCTTTTTTTTAATCGCTTAATTTTTTTTCCAATTCGCTTAATTCCTTTTTAATTCAGTCAAATCGTTTTTAATTGATTTAATTTTTTATTGACTTAATTATTTTTTTAATTGGTTCGATTTTTTTCAGTGCACTTTATTTTTTTTTTATTCGTTCAATTTTTTTTAATACGCTTAATTCTTTTTAATTTGTTCAATTCTTTTTTAATGTGCCTATTTTTTTTTAATTCGTTCAATTTTTCTTTAATGCGCCTAATTTTTTTTAAATTCGTTCAATTCTTTTTTATTGCGCGCTTAATCCTATTTTAATGCGAAGAATTTTTTTAATGCGCTTATTTTTCGTTGCGCTCACTTTTTTTTTCTTGCGCTTAATTTTTTTTTACTGCGCCTAATTTTTTTAACTGCACCGTTTTTTCATTTCGCCCAATTTGTTTGTTTTTTCTTTCAATTTTGCAATTAATTTCTGAATTAGCGGCGAATGCGAGCGCGAAATGCGTGATCATTCTTTGTGCGAAGCATACAAGCATATACATCATTTTCAGCCAGTCAGCTCACGCTTGGAGTGCCTTATTTTTACATATATACTTGATATCTATATACTTTATGCAGTAAAGTTTGTTGACCTGCCATTAAAAACCACCTTCTTAACAAAAAAAAAATAACATTCCTTCTAACAAAACAAAATTTCCGAAACACAACTACTACAGAAATTAACAAAAAAAAAAAAAAAAAAAAATTGGAAAATCACTGAAAATATTATAGCAATCATTTTATTTAATTTGCAGACTGAATTTATTTTTCTGCTTTTTTAATTTTGCGATTGTTAGACCGCAAGTTACACGGCCCTGGTTGCTGCAGTAGGGGACGAAGAGTGGGGAGATGAGAACAAGAGAGAGAGAATTAGGGATTCATGGAACTTTCTCACTTACTCTCATCTCCCCACTCCTCTGCGTCACGCGCTCTCGCTTCCTTTCTTTTAAATCTTACAATATAATAAAGTCGCTACAAAAATTCCATTCGAATCGTAAACAGTGCAATTTTTTTCAACAGTTAATAATAATGATAATAGTGATAATAAAAATAATCATTATAAAAATAATAATAATAAAAATAATGATAACAATAATAATAATTTTCCACTATTATAACACTCTCTAAATTAGAATTAGTAAAAATATTTGCTAATTTGAATCGGTGATTGACTTTTTGCTTTTGAATTAGTAACTTTTACTAATAAATACTAATTTCTACTAATTTATTGGTTAAATTTACTAATTTAAAAGTAAAAAGTCAGTCACTAATTCAAACTAGTAAACATTTTTTTAATTCAAATTTAGAGAGCAAATAAAAATTATTATTATTGTCAATTAATTTCTCTATTATTATTAATTAAAACTTTTTATTATTATTATTATTAATTAATCCCTTTATTATTATCATCAATTAATTCTTCTGTTAATATTAAATTAATTACTATATTATTATAAATTCATCCTTTTATTGATAGAAGAATTAATTATAAATTAAAATTAATTAATAGAAATTCTTTTATTAATAGAAATTGTTATCAATAATTAATTAGTCTTGTAATACTACAATTAAACAAAAAAAATTTTTTTACTAGTTGCAGAAAATATTAAATATTGGGATTTTTTTCTCAAAATAAAAAACAAAACAAAACAAGAGAAATACAGAGCAAAATGAACATTTACATATTGTTAAGGGGGTGGTTAACGATTGGTTATTTATGTATAACACAACAATTTATGTTTATTGTTTATTATTTATTTTTTTTGGGAAAAAAATGTTGAAATTCGCAAATTATGTTGCAGGCTTACATTCACCGCACGAAGGTTTGGCCGGCGGTTCCGGTCAAAGTATGTCCGGCCTTGCTTATTATCAACCTGAGCATCCTGGTTCGGCTGGTGTCGTTAAATATCCGGAAAATGGTCACGACACACTCTCGGATTTCGTGACATTTGTATGCCAGGAGGCCGAGAACACTCAGCAGCTACCCCAGGTAGCTCTCGGCTCCAAATACGTGTGCCAGAAAAATATTCCCTCTCTCTTCACTTTTTTTTTTTTTGCAGTTGAAAAAGAAATATTTTTCACTTTCCCCTCTTTTATTAATTTAAAACAGAAAATATTTTTTTAATCCTTTGTTATTTTTTTTCATTAACTTTTTTTGATTAATTTGTTCATTAATCTCTTTTATTCATTTTTTCCCCGATCTTTTTTCAATTCATTTACTCTATTTATCTTTTTTACTAATTTTTTCTAATTATTATTTTGATGAAACGCTTTTACTAATTTTTTTTTTATTACTATTTTCATTAGTCTTTTTAAAAAATTTTTTTTTACAAATTTCGAGAAAAAGAGTGAGAGAGGAAATATTTTTTTTCCATATTCTTTTTGTGCTCCCCTCTTCTTAAATCATTGACAGAATTCGAGAATATTTTTCCTATGCTTGAGAGGAAGAAAAATTTGAATTTGTAAAGTGAAATCGAAAAAGTATAGACAAGATTAGGTCGAGTGGAGCACATAAAAGTGCAGGATCGTCTTGAGCAAAAAAATTGCATGCTTTGGGGCACAAAAGATTTTTAATTTGAAATTATTTTTCAACAAAATTTACACCCTTTTTCAATAGAGGGAATTAGAATATGTAGTGGGAATAAAAAAATATTAGAATAGGAGTAAATTAGAAGAAGGGGGAATTAAAATAGAGAAAAGTTTAAATAGGGGGCGCGTTTAAAATAGGGGGGGATTTGGAATAGGATGGAATGAGAATAGGGGCGAATTAGAAAAAGGAACAATTAGAATAGGGGAAAATTAGAAAAGGGGGTTAATAAGAATAGTCGGAAAAAAAGAAAATGGGGCGTCTAGGGTTGAGGGTAATTAGAATAGGGGAAAATTAGAAAAGGGGGGCAATAAGAATAGGCGGAAAAATAGAAAATGGGGCGTTTAGGGTTGGGGGTAATTAGAATAGGGAGGAATTAGAAAAAGGAGCGTTAAGAGTAGGGGAATTAGAATAGGGGGAAGGGGGGTTAGAGTAGGGGAAAATTAGAAAAACGGGCGTTGAGAGTAGGGGGAATTAAAAAATGGGGCGCTTAGAATAGGGGGCATCCCCACTATTCTAAATCCCCCCCTATAGGAAACAAGTAAAATAGGGAGGATTAGGATTAAAAAAAAATTAGAAAAAAGGCGTAAATTAAAACAGAGAAATAAAAAAGATGGCAATTAGAAAAGGAAGGGGGGATTAAAAATAGAAATAAAAATAAAAATTCAAAATAAAAAAAGGAATTAAAAAAAAGAAAAATTGGTGCTCCAAGTGTTTTTTTGCCCTCGAGACGGTCCTGCATGAGTGGTTCGATGATCGGTGGTGTACGATTTTCAGGCACAACTCGCGGGTCCGCGATCTGGAATACAAAAGTTCTCACAGTATTACCCGAGTTCGATGTTACCTCCACCGCCGCCGGCGCCAATGGCGAGACCTGTAGCGATAATACGTTCAACCGGCGAGCTAACGACAAATAGTGCAAATTCACCGCCAACATCGTCGACATCGCCGGCCGATTCATCTGAAATGGGACCGAATCAGGAACAAATGGCAGCGGCAGCAGCCGTTGGCCTTGTCAGCTCATGCCAAAGTTCCGATCCTGGCGGTCGAAAAAGTCCCGCACGAATACTCGTCACTGCACCCCATACTAGTAGAGAATATACCTTCGCTCATTTTCACTCGCAACCGGGACAGGTGAGTAAGTTACTCTTTTATTCTCTTTACTACTACTACTTTATATTCAATCGTAATTAGTTGGTTAATTAGTACATTGTTGGTATTAATTAGTTCGTTGATTGGTAATTTTGTAAGTAGAAATTAGATTTTTAATTTTGAGGAAAATTAGTAATTTGTATGAAAGTAGATGGCATGGATCCCTTTTTTTTGGTGCGTAAAATAGAAGAATGGTGATGGAGATTTTGTGTCTGACACGAACTGTCTTTTACTACTGATAATACATTCTTGTATTTTGTAATTTTTAGTTATATTCTAAAATATTTGGCTTGAAAGGGACTTGATTTTACTTCTTGTATTTCAAAACGTGTAGTTTAAACATCCAGTCTGACTAAAAATTACTTTCTCTACTGCAATCAAATTTACGAGATTGTCTGACTAAAACAGTCATTTACTACTGAAGCTAAAATTTTACTTAAAAAAGTAAAATTTTCGCTTCAGTAGTAAATGACTGTTTTATCTATGGACTTTATATTTAAACTATGGACCTTGACCTACAAATACAAGAATTTTAAATGTCTTATCTGACGCAAACATTCTTTTACTACTGATAATAAAATTTTTTTATATTCCATAACATTTTTGTCAAGTGGGATTTACTTTCATGTTTCGTATTCCAAGAGTATTAGTTTAAACATCACGTCTGAATTAGAATAACTTTTTCTACTTCAAGCATATTTTCCAAATTGTCTGACTAAATCAGTCATTAACTACTGAAGCGAAAATTTTATTTTTTATTCTGTCAATAATTTAGATTGACTGAAATTGGTTTTTACTATACTTTAACGACAAAAGGAAAAATTTTAAATGCCTTGTCTGGCCCAAACTTCCTTTTACTACTGATACTAATGTTAAATAATATTTTTTAAACATTTTAAAGCGTAAATTTTATTTTTTATTTTGTTAATTATTTAGATTGACTAGATTTGTATTTTCCCACTGGAAGTAAAATTGCAAAAATTTTAAATGCTTTGTCTTGTCTAAACTGTCTTTTACTACTGGATACTAAAATTTTTTTTGTCTTCTAAGCCACTTTGTCAATAGGAGATTTTTGTTTACTAATCGAATACAAAAGACTTTTGCTTTTAAAAATTGCTTTTACCTTTAAAATATCATGTCTGACTAAAACTAACTTCATCTACAGTGACGAAATTCGCAAGATTCTAAAAGTCTGACTAAAACTGTCATTTACTACTGACTACGTAAATTTTATTTTCTACTTTCTCAATCATGTAAAACAAAAATTTTTTTTTACTACTCAAAATGAAATTGCAAAAATTAAAAAACCTTTGTCTGACGAAAACATGCTTATACTACTAGTATTAACTTTGTATAAGCCAAAAAAAACTTTGTCTGATCGAAATTGATATTTACTACTGATTTCTTATTTTTTGCCTTCTGACTAAAACGAATTTTTACTATTAAAAAAAGTATAAATTCTGGAAGTTGTTAACATTTTGGCCTGACGAATACTGGTTATTACTACTTATAGTAAAATTATAAAAACGTTTCCCTGACTAAAAGCTGTCTGTAACTACTTGTTGTAATAATTTGTTTTAATTATTTTTTTCTGATTAATAGTAAAGATTACTAGTGTGGGAAAAATTGCAGAATAATTTTACTAATTCTGTCTGACTAAAAACTGACTCTAACTACTGATTAGAATTATACAGATTTTTAATTATTTTTCTATTTTTATTTATTAATTTTAAAAATTTTATTTTATTCTATTTTTTATCATTATGTGATTCTTTTTACTTCTGTCGGACTATAAACTGTTTGTAACTACTGGTTAAAATAAAAAAAAAATTTAACTTATTTTGTCTGACAAATAATAACTTTTACTACTTAGAATAATTTCAGAATGTGTTTTTACTAATTCTGTCTAGCTAAAAATTGTTTGTAAGTTCTCATGATAATAATAAATTTTTTTAAATTATTTTGTCTGATTAATAGTGACTGTTACTACTGTGGAAAAATTACAGAACGACTTTTCCTAATTCTATCTGACTAAAAACTGACTCTACTGATTATAATTATAGATTATAATTATTATAATCTACTTTAAGTACAGAATAATTTTTTCTTCAAGTGATTGTAATTTTTACTACTTTTGTCTGACAAACAATTTTCTAAAACTATTAATCAAAATTCTACATTTTTCGAAACTATTTAAAAATATTTTAACTTATCTTACATTTAATTTTATAAGTTCCGTTTGACTAAAAATTACCTTTAACTACTGATTTTAATTCTTCATTTGTTTAAAACTATTTTGACTTATTTATACTGACTCTTACTACTGATGTCTGACTAAAAACTGACTTTAACTACTGATTATAATTATAAGTTATTATTTTCGTCAAAAAAATTATTTTCTCTCTTTGATTATGACTTTTACAATTATTTTGTCCAATTAATATTGACTTTTACTACTTCTGTCTGACTAAAAATTGACTTTGACTACTGATTATAATTACAAATTTTTATTTTGGTTACAAAATTATTTTCTCTCATTGATTTTGATTCTTACTGTTTCTGTCTGACTTAAAGTTGACTCTAACTACTGATTATAATAATAAACTCATTAAAATTATTCTGTCTGATTAATAGTGACCATTACTACTATAAAGAAAAGTAGAGAATTTTTTTTTACAATTTAGCATGCGGCTAGCATGGGGACTTAATTCCTTGGACTATTTATTTACTTCCAAAAGAGTGGGTGGGGGATATAATAAATTAATTAATAAATAAGTAAATAAAAAAAAGAATGAAGAATAAGAAAAAGTGTTCTTTCAATTTTAAAAAGAAATAAACTAAACTGATTTCAAACTATTGTTTCCAAAAGATTTTTCTTATTTCTTTCTTTATTTTAATGATTTATATAAAAATTTCGGTTCGTATCACTTTCATGATGTTTCAATTAAATAATTTAATAAGTTCATAATTTTCTAAGTTCGTAATTTTCTAATTTTTTAATTTTCTATTTTTTTATTTTTCATACTTTCATAATTTCATAATTTCATAATTAAATAACATTTAATTATTTCAAAACTCGATAATTTTTATAACTTCAAGAATATCAAAATATCCAGTTTTTAAATTTTCCCATCAATTATTATTTCTCATTTCATGACAATATGAAACTTTTCTTTCTTTTTTTTTCTTGGTATTATTTACATATTCATCATTTTTGTTTTTTGTTTTATTGGTTCGTTTGCGCTGACTTATAAATGAATGCAAAAATTTTAATGTTTGACGCAGCAAATCTTCACCTACCCTACCATCAGCTCGATGTCAGGAGTGATTTCACCGACGAATCTTTCCCTCTTCTCATCCCCCGTTTCTGTAACGAGACCAGTGGCAACGCAGAGGTCAGTTTCCAACGTTCCCCCACGCTGGAATACAGCACCTTTCATAAATCTGGAGGACGATTACAACATGATAGCTCCAATTATTGCGGGTACTGCCAGTGAACCACCCACTGCCATGGACGATGGTAACATTATTATTATTTTCAAACAAAACACTTGTTCTTGAAAAAAAAATTTCTTCAAATTTAAAATTTTAAACTACGAAATTTTTTTCAAATTAAACTATAAAAATAATTTCTTTAAATTAAATTAAGAAAATAAGTTCTTATAATTAAACTACGAAATATATTTTTTCTAATTAAACTGCGAAAATAATTTCTTTAAATTAAACTACAAAAAAAATTTTTTCTAATTAAACTAAGAAAATAATTTTTTCAAATTAAACTACAGTACCGTCCGAAATTGTCAGTCCACCCATTTTCAAAGGAATGACAAAATTTTTTTAACATAAAATTCATAAAAAGTAAAATTTTTTTTGGTTTATATTTTGAAAGACGATAAAATTTTGAAAAGAATAAGACCTTACAGAAGTCATTTGGCCAAAATTTGTAGAAGATATTCTTAAAAATCGTCATTTTCAATGTTTTACAAAAATTTGAATAACTTCTAAAATAATGAACGCTTTTTAATAATCTTAGGCTTATTTTAAAGACCATTTTCTACAGAATAAGAATTACTTATAGGCATTAACCTGTCATTTTTAACTTGGAATAAGCATGACGTCAAAGTTGGACAAAAAAATTCAAAAAATTTGAAATAATATTATTAAAAGAAAAATAATTTTTGAAATTCAAACATATATTTTTATTAAATTTTCTTGAAAAATCTACACCATATCATGTTTTATATATGTTCTAGAATATTTTTTAGTACAAAAAATTGATTTCAAATTTTTCCAATTTTTTTGTCCAATTTTGACGTCATGCTTATTCCAAGTTAAAAATGACAGGTTAATGCCTATAAGTAATTCTTATTCCGTAGAAAAAGACCTTTAAAATAAGCCTAAGATTATTAAAAAGCGTTCATTATTTTAGAAGTTATTTAAATTTTTGTAAAACATTGAAAATGACGATTTTTAGGAATATCTTCTACAAATTTTGGCCAAATGACTTCTGTAAGATCTTATTCTTTTCAAAATTTTATCGTCTTTCAAAATATAAACCAAAAAAAATTTTGGTTTTCATGAATTTTATGTTAAAAAATTTTTGTCATTGCTTTAAAAATGGGTGGACTGACAATTGCGGACGGTACTGTACAAAAAAAATATTCTCAAAATTAATAAATATAAATAGTAAATAATAAATAATACAAACACAGTTTTTCTGCAGATATCAAATTGAGACAAAAAACGAATCAAAATTGTTGCGAAGCAACGTTTTGATTCGTTTTTTGTCTCAATTTGATATCTGCAGAAAAACTATAAATTATTTAATTATTTAATTTACTATTAAATTATTCACCTATTAATTAAATACTTTAGTACTAATTTCAATTCTAAATTTTTTTTTTCAATTGGACTTCTTATTTTTTGTTTGCTAAAGAAATAATTAAAATAAACCGAGTAATTAATAAAATACAAATACCGAAATATTTTCAAAAATAAAATTATAAAATTTTCCCAAAAAAATAAAATTTTCATCGAAAATTTATAATTAAATCGAAAATCGAAAATTTATAATTAAAAATAACATATTTAATTGCAGATCGTTATTTTCATTCGGTCCATGCGAGTAATGTCGTCGATAAAAATGGCAATGGTGGAATGATGGGAACCGAATTAGTTGGTACCGATCCCAATTCGCATCATCATCAACAACAGCAACAACAACAACAAGTGATGCAGGACAAAACCGGAAGACCTAAATCTCCTCCGTGACACTGGAGTCAGATTTTTTTTCGACTCTCCAATCTCTTATGGTTCGGTTCATTCACAACATGCTCAATAATGTTGACACTCGGTTTCGCCTCGAGTTGGCTGAATTTAAAAAGAAAAAACAAATTTTCACGTTGGAAACGAATCGGTCGATTATTTCCATCTCAAAATTTCACTTTCATATTGTAAGAAAACAAAAAAGTAAAAGCAAAAAAAAAAAATAAATAAATGAATTGAAAGTGAAATAAAATGGGATTGAGATAAAAGAAAATCTGATTGAATGATTCCTTTAAGAAAATCCCCGAAACTTTTCACACTAGTGTATTTGGTAAAAAAAAAAAAAAAAAGAAAACCCCCGCCTCCCATTGTCGTCGTCGTCGTCGTCGCATATGACACTTGCCATTTTTCTTTAGCAAATTTTTTCTATAGCCTACTAGCGAGTGCTGGCACTTTTATTATCAATTATCGAGACTTCTATTTCTCTACGACAGAAAAAAAAATCATTGTAGAATAAAAGTCAATTAATAGCAGATCTCTGTCTGAAATCACATTCAGTGAAATGACAAATTTCTTTCTTGAAGAGAATAAATTTAAAATTGTCCTTCGTTAAATTTTTTTTTCATAAAAAAAGAGAAACTTTTGTTTGTTTTTTTTTGTAATTTCTAATTTCTAAGTTCTGGAAAATTAATTTTTGATAATAAAAATTATTTTTCGACAATAAAAATAATATTTCAATAATTAATATTATTTCATTACTGAAAAAATAATATTTTATTAAAATAAAATAAAAAATAATAGTAATATTAAAGTTCTTTTACGATAATTAAAATTATTTCATTCTGGAGAACGTAATATTTCAAAATAAAATAATAATAATAATAATAAAGTCATTTTTCGGTAATTAAAAAGGTTTTCTGATAATTAAAGTTATTTTTGAATAATAAAAATTGTTTTTCGATAATTGACCATGTTTTTCGGTAATTAAATTAATTTTTTGATAATTAAAAACGTTCTTCAATAATTAATGTTATTTTTCAAAACTTAAGTTAAAATTAATTATTTTCTGTAAAAAATAATATTTTTTTTAATAAAATAAAAAGTACCAATGTAAAAGTTATTTTTCGATAACTAAAACTTATTTTTTGGTAATTAAAAATGTTTTTCGGTAATTGGATTTATTATTTGATAACTAAAAACGTTCTTCAATAATAATAAGAGTTATTTTTCAAAAATTGAAATTATTTTTTTCTGGAAAAAATAATATTTCTAAATAAAATAAAAAATAATAATGTTAAAGTTGTTTTTCGATAATTTATCACCCGTTTATACATATATCTAAATAATTAAATAAATAATTGAAAATTATTTTTCAATAATTGAAAATTATTTTTCAATAATTGAAAATATTTTTCAGTAATTAAATTCATTTTTAATAAAAAAAAAACTAAGAATACCTACTGATAACTGAAAATGTTCTTTAATAATTAAAGTTAATTTTTGGATATATGAAATTATTATATTATGGAAAAAAATGAAATTTTAATATAAAAATAATAAAAAAATTTTTTTTCGATAGACAAAATTATTTTAGTCTTTAAAAATAATATTTTAAAATAAAATAAAAGGATAACAATAAAATGAAAGTTATTTTTCGGTAATTAAGATTATTTTTCGATAATTGAAAATGTTTTTCCATAATTAAATTTATTTTTCGATAATTGAAATAAAATAATTTTTCAATAATCAGTTTATTCTGGAAAAGATATTCCACAGTAAAATAAAAAATACTAATCAATAGTTATAAAATTATTTTTCGATTAAAATTATTTTTTGACAATTAAAATTGTTTTAACCAGAAAAAAATAATATTCCACAACAAAATAAAAAAAAAAATAATATTAAAGTTTGTTTTCGAATAAATAATATCATTTTTCAATAATTCGGATTATTTTGTGCTGGAAAAAATAACATTTATAAGTAAAATAAAAAAATAATAGTAATACAGTTATTGTTCAATAACTAAAATTATTTACCAACAATAAAAATTATTTTCTTCTTACAATAAATAATATTTCAAGATAATCCGAAATAATTCATTAATAATTATTTAAATAATTTTTCTTTCTTAATTATTCAAGATTTTATTGAAAATATTTATTTACCTAAATTCTGAAGACAACATAAAGAAGGACTCTTAAATAAATTCTTTTCACGAAAGAAAAATAAATTTTAATTTTGTAAAAAGAAGAAGAAGAGGAAGAAAAAAAGAAAATTCTCGTGCCAGTAAAAATAAATAAACTAGGGACTGAGTGAATTCGTTAATATTATTATAAGGGCCTAGGATCAATGAAAGATGTGCTGTATACCGTTCTCGTTCCACGTGATTAATTATTGTAAATAGAAGCGACAAGGTTTATTGATTGAATGGCGAGTATTTCTCATCAGTAAACTTTGCCGAAAAATAAAAAAAAACGCGACTATAATTTGTGATACCGTGACCATTATTATACCTACTGAATGAAAAAAAAAAAAAAAACAGTTGTTACGCTGAAACGCAATTAAAATATGGTTAAGGGGAAAAAGGGAGGGGTCAATTATCGAACGAATTACATGTTATATCCCGGTTGATAAATTTTTTCGACCCGCTATTATTAACAAGTACTATCGTTTATGCCTAATGCTCAGGCTAGTGTTAACACTAGTAAAGACTAGTGCGGACTAGTCACCAGAGGCTGCTAGTTAGAAACTTTATAGTATTTAATACTCAATTACCGGTCATCGACAGAATTTTACAAAAAAAAAATTTAATTTTTTAGTTTTTCTCTATTCTACTTGAAATTTTTTTTCGAAATCTCTGTCAAAAAGTTCTTTTAAGTTCTTAAATTTTTTGGAAATTATTTATTACCCTTATTTTCATTACCATTATTATTATTTATATTCTATTATCATAATTATTTTTGTTACTATTATTATAATTGTTATTATTAATATTATTATTATTAAAATTATTTACTGTGAAAAATCTTTTTTATACGATTTTTTCAAAGTAAAAATAAAGTATTAAATAAGTAGGACTAAAAAAAATTTGCGTAAGTCACTATGTTTTATTTCCTTAAAAAAATTATACATTTTTTTATTAAAAAATAAAATATAGGTACTATTTTTATTTTTTACTAAATAGAATATTATTTTTATTAAAAAAAAAAAATTTTTTAATAATAATAAAAATAATTTACAATTAAGAGACAATAGATAATTTTATAATTTATCAAATTTACACGATTGGTTTGAATCAATATTATTTTAGTATTTAATATTAACTTCTTTTTTTAAATAAATAAATTAAATAAAATCGTTATTTAATAATAAAAATAATAATAATAATAATATTAATACTATTTTTATTTAATAGAATATTACTTTTATTAAAAAAATATTTATTTTGAAAAAATATAAGTTTTATTAAAAATATTAGTTTTATTGAAAATAAAAAAATGTAATAATAGAATTACTATTTTTTATTAAAAAGAATATTATTCGCGTTAAAAATTAATATTTTTATTATTCTCAAAACTAAAATAACCTATTTAAATTAATTATTTTCCATTATTTATTTATTTATTTTCATTATTTATTCGACACGTGTAATTAATTTCCCAACAAGAACTTTTGATGGAGAAAGAAGAGAAAAACAAAATTTTTTTCTGACCCTCTTTTAAAATCCAGTTAATTATTTCAAAAGTTGTGTAAATTTAAAAATAACTTTCTTTCTTTTTGGTTTTTTTTCTTTTCTTGTTTTTTTGTTTTGTTTTGAAGACAAAGGTTGAATGAGGTGCTGTCCAACCTCTCTCACACATCAATTTAATGAGCAAATTTCTTGCGGATCGATTTTATGTTGTATGATTAATTTATTTTATAGAACAGTGAGTTTTTTGTAAGTAGTATAATTATTATTTTTATTTCGATAGAAAAACGATCTTTGTATAATCATTGTAGTTAATTACACATTATTATGTTCTGTATATGGTTTAACTTGAACTTCGTTAGCTTGGTTTGTTTCAATTAACGGAGACAACGACGATTTACAAACTGTTGATCAAAATAAGATAATGATCGTTCAATATTATTTCACGATTTTTTATTTACTTTTTCCTTGTTTTCTATTTATAGTTTTTTTCTGTTTCTGATTTTTTTTCTACTTCTATACTTTTGTTCACCTTTTTTATTATTGATTATTATTTTTTCTATTTATTAGTTTATTTATAAAATTTGTTATTTTATTTATTTTAAATTTATTTATTTTTGAATCACAGTTTTTTTAAAGATATCAAATTAAGACAAAAAACTAAGCAAAAACGTTGCTTCGCAACATTTTTGCTTCGTTTTTGTCTTAATTTGATATCTTTAAAAAAAACTGTGATTGTATTAAATTATTTAAAAATTAATTTTTTTAATTTGGTTTATTACGTTTTTGTAGTTTTAAATTTATTACTTATTTTTTGCTTACTGTTACAACATTATTTACTTTTTATTTATATTAATTATAAATACTGACTTTCACTATTACTTATTATATTTTATTATTTATTACCTTTGAATATTTAATAATACTTATTTATTATTTACTATTATTATTTATTATTTACTTCAAAAATTATTATACTATTATTATTATTCCAAATTATTATTATTACTTATTATTTATTAGTTATTATTTATTACTTATTATTATTAAAAATATTTTTATTACTTCATCCTTTTTGTATTTTATTCATTGGAAATGTTTTCAATTTTTACTGAGGTCTCTTTTTATTTTCAAATTTCAAAAAAAATTATCAATTAATTTATTATAATTTATTTTACAATATTATTAGAATTATAATATATTATAATTACAATAGAAATTATAATTACATTCATCTATAATTTATTTTTATTAAAATCTTTTTCATTTTTCTAAATTAATTAATTATGTGTTAATTTTAATTTTATGTGTTTTTGCTGAATTATAATTTTTTCGAATTTTGAAAAATTTTCTCGATACCGGAAGAAAATTATAACTGAAAACGATATACGTATACAAAAAAATAAAAATAAATCTATAGTAAAGGGAAGGGTATGTTTTGTAAGTCTATTAGTGTTTAGAAAAAAATATTGAGCTGAACGCATTTTTTTATAGAAAACAGATATGTGTACATAAAACTAGTGCATTCAATGTTGATAATGAAATATTGCAGACGAATTTTATTTTTCATGTTTTATTAAGAAAAAAAAGAAACGAAGCGTGTGATTATGCATCTAAGGACGCACTTTGTTATTGTGCACTCGATTCATAACATCTCTCTAAAAATAATTCAATCATAAGCGTGCTATTATTCTCAAATTACCCTGAGAATTAAATTCACTATCAAAATTATTCTCAAATTTTTTAATTTTTCAATTTGTTCATTTTTTTTATTTTAATATTGTCCACATTTCTTGGCAAAAATTGCCATTTGTCGATTTTGTTTAAATATTTTATTGTTTTAACTTTTAAATAATATGTTATTATTAATACTATTAATATTGTTATTATTATTATTATTATTACTATTATTATTATAAATTTATTATAATATATTATATGTTAATACGTTAATAGTAATAAAACTGAAAGCAAAATTTATTTGAATCAAATAAAATTTTTT